TACATTTTCAGACACAATTTGGAACGAACTGTGAACACCCCAATTATTACTGCAAAACGTTTCCCAGCTCAGATAATTGAAGAGGCATTGCAGGCTAAACAGTTGACATTTCAGCTGCGTTTGATAATACATGGTACGAATCAAATTTAATTCGAACGTAATAAGTGCATGGATCATATGTAGCCCTCGGAATCTCATGCACTAAAAAACCGAAAATATGCGCACATAATATGCATGCAAAATTCAAAAATATGCGCTATAAACAAGTAGAATATGCATTTAAAAATATTTTCGTAATATTTTACTGCCGGTACATAAATAAATGACAAATGCATTTTAACAAGAAAATAACTACAACAAATCAATTCAAAATAGAATACATATTTATGTATAAAATTAGTTTATAATCAAACAGTCTATTACAATCTTATATAAATAGAAGCATTGACAGTTCAATAGTTTGAGAAACTTTGCCATTTTGGATCCACAACTTGAGCAACCTACATTACGTCATAAAGAGAGAGACAGCTGCACTCTAAAACATTATGCACGAGTGCATAGGGTCTTTAGCCTCATCCTTGCGAGTGCTGGACACTCGCAAAGGAAGTGTTCGACTGTCTCTTTTGAGCTGGGGTCATCACAACTACGACAGTGCCTTTTGAAAGGTAATCCACCTTTCGACACGTACCCCAACGGGCCTGTGCCCTGTGCATAATGCAATAAGTTTGTAGGTATCTTCATTGCTTTGGTTGTAAGTGGGTCGTAGGATACCACCCAAAACTGCCGGGTAATCGTGTACATTCCTGTAAGATTCCACCTCTGCTTGGCCTTCGGAATGGAATGGATTTTTTTTTAAGATAGGTATATATGCTCCAGTATTATAATAATAATTCAAGGCATACTCGAAAAATGTGTATTTGTAAAATAGAATATATTTTGGTATTTTTTTTTACATTTTGGTACACAAAACAAGAAGTAAGTGGCAAGCATAGCTGCAATGTGATTTGTATGCTGAAGATCAGAAGCAAAAAGTAGTGCATTTCGTTTGTTGTTGCTGTTGTTATTTCGTCTGTTGCCATCAATTTAACTGTTCGTCCGTCATAATAGCACTTGCCTGTTAATACCGACAGCAATTGCATGCCAAGCAGCAAATAAATACTTATGTACTTTTACATACATACGAGTATGAACATAAGCGTACACCACCTAACTGAGCGTTAGCACGTACACCTTCGTCCCCAGCATGTAAAGCTGAGTGCGACTCAGGTGACGGCGAGGCCCACAGCCAACAGCCAGCAGCCAGTAGAGCTTGCCCTGTTATTAGAATAAATAATAAGAATAAAGTAAATAACGTAGCAACGATTAGACAGGCATTTCCTCCAAGAGTTTGGCACTTCCAGATCAACTACCGTTTGCTTGCATGTAACGCTTGGTGAGGCCTTGTCCGACATTTGGCTAAAATCAATGTAGGTATTTGAGTATCTTATAAACGCGTAGCTAAATACTTTCCACCATTGAACCCACAAATGCGTGCATGTTCATGTGTACTTATTTCATATTAATAGTTGGAAGAATGAGTATACGACCCGCTCTCCACGCCGCATGTGACACTAATTGTAGATATAAAGCAGTGATGGACAGGGAGAGCTTTTACTCTACGCGCGGCTATACAAAATGTGAAGAGAGCTTAAAAGACCTTTGCCCGCGATCATGGCACATGACCGATATAAAACGGTCGACCTAAAGCTAAACATCTCTGAAGGCAAATTTGATGCCTCTCAAATAAAGAGAGCACCCACCAACCTTAATAAAAATGTACGCGTCGTCTATCGCCAAAAGACCCAAAGTGGTTGAACACAGAACCTTCCCATAGCGACTGAGAGCGAAAGTTTGGGCACCCGGTCACATAATCCGACTCAGCGGCAGGCTTGTCCGATCACAATTGGGGATTTTCCAAAAAAGAATAAATGGGTCTTACGGAAACGAAAAACGGAAAGCGCAAATATACTTCGAGTAACCTCCATTATTTCCTACAATTGTGAAAATATTGTCACACAGTTTAGTAAGTAATCTGAGTATATGCCGTTTCTAAACCAATATTTCAACGTCAAGTCGGCAAGGGTTATCGTCCGCCTACAGCAGTAAAACTGTGTATTAACGTTACCATCAAGTCTCTGAGAGCGAATGATATCATTTCTGCACAGTGTAAATAGCTGTGAAGGTGTCATATAGGTAGCCAGCTCGTATATATGCAAACTGAGTGTGGAGTTGATATATCAATGGAAGGTCGTTAGTGAAGCTTTTGTTCCGAAGGCCGATAAAAGCTCTAATATTTTACCCGAGTACCTGAGACCACCATATATGTATATCATCATTTCTGCTGCAGACGATGGGGAACCCTTTACAATAAAGAAAAGGGGTACCGCCCTTCATCCAGTAGCGGCCTTGATCGCTATTAATCGACGTCCAGCCGGAGGCAATAATTGAAGCACCAAGAGCTCAGTGTTAAAACCAACCTAACAGGACTCGTCGACCACTTTAGCCGCCAACGATGCTGTTCTGTCACTTCTTCCCTGGATAGTGGGGCTAGAAATAGAGGCTGCGGGGTGAATTCCAATGCAGATATCAAGGCGTGGGTTGCTTATTTTTAAGGATAAATTTCTGGGCACCTTATGTGACCTGAACCAAGGTTAACTTAATCTGTTTACTAAATAAGCAGCTAATAGCGGTCACGGCGTCAATCCTGGCTTTATACGCTTGGAAGTACAATATTCTCATCGCGAATCTTCCCTCGTCTGGGAGTTTTCGCCTGCAGCTTCCCGACAGTACTTTTTTGGGCCTGATCCCAGATAGGAAGTTTTTATATTGAGAAAAGAATAAAAATACATATATGTATTTTCTTAAATTGAAAGGAATTTCTTAGCTTTATGAAACTAAAGTTAAACTCGTAATGCTTTAAAGAGTTATCGCTGATGAAACGCGCTAGAGAGAGCTACACCAACAAACCTACACAGAATATATTCCCTTTGCATATAAGTTATGCCTTTCAAACCACTTTCACTTTGGCGCTCAACGTCTTGACAAATATACTAAAGTCTTAAAATTTCGATTTCACCCATGATTAAATAGGCCGTTGCGTCACTGTGAACACATTCCCCCAGGGTTGAGTGAGTGGGACTAGATGGCTGGAGGAAGGGGGTAGTGAAATTTTTCGCGGACTGGTCAGAACATGATGGAAGAATTTGCGATGGGGTATTTTACCATTTTTACCATGAGACATCAACATTAAATTAAAGCTTCTGAAATGCCTAAACTTCTTCTCAATTTCGTCCAAAAGTTTTCCAATTAGCTCAGCGATCGCCGCGTGAAAACTAGGACACCTGCAATTCCAATGTGCTTCTGGCTCCGATATAGTGCTATAGCGCGAATATCGTTTTACAGGTATCCCTTTCAGGTATTATTACCTTGTAAGGCTTTACAAAGGTCAGCTTCGGCAGCATTGAGTCTATGAGTTTTACTACGGGATCATTTATGACAGGGCTTAGGACACCTAGAGCTAGAGGCGGTATGCATATGATGACTTCAAGCGACTGTAGTATACTGGATCTCGTTCTGAGTGGTCTTTTTCTACGCGATTTTATTAACAAATTATAACTAACAAATGCATTCGTTAGAGGTCGTGACTTTCTTACGGGGGATTTCAACGCGAGCTTGCTAATGTTCAGACAAGCCGCATTAAAACATATAAATATCTAAACCAATATTTCGCACAATGCAGCCATACTTGTCACTCTACGCTTGCGGCTATTTTGAATATCTCCGGGCACTAACGTTGTCGTTGACAAACACCTTACGTAACGAAACGAAAACCAGCACCAAATTTGTAGGAAGTAACAAAAAATCAAAGTCACTGACAACATTTCAAAGTCAAAGTCGAATGCAGCATTGAGCTGCCGCTAACGAGATGCAAACTTGCGCAGCGAGCAATCAATGGGAATTCTTTTGACTAATAAAATAGTAGCGACATTGTACGAAGTGCGATTTCGCTAACGCGCTAGACAGAGCTAATTCGGATGGGCTAGACAGGGTGACTGTAGTGCACGAGCGCACCATCTAACCGCCAACGACGCTTAATCATAGCACTTTCGCAAGAAAAGGGTTTTTCGCTTATCGGAAACCGCAGTTACCAGCGCAACATTTGAAGAAAAAATATCAAATAGAAAATATTCCGCTGTGAGAAGTAGAGTAGTTTATAAACTGCCTGCAGGGATATATATGATTTTGTGCATATGCTAATGAACGTTGAGTTTCTGCGACTTTCTGCTTGCAAGTACATAGATCTCAGCCACGAACCAACCATTTGTTGACTTTTATACTGCTTTAAATGCATACACTTAAAAGTTGCGTGCACGTAAGTACTCGTATTGCTACCCTGCAGGAAAAGCGACCAGTTGTGAACCAGAATGCTACCAGTTTGCGTTTCAGCCAAATGCAAAACAAGGTAACAACATCGTAAATGAAATGGAAAAAGTCGTGACTAATATATCAATTTTTTTTTATAAAATGATGCCTTTTGGCATTTCAACGATGATGTTTGTTACATCTTGTTGCATTTCAGGTGACGATGTGAAAATTATAATATTTGTTTCTATCATTTAAATACTGCATTTGAACCTGCGACACACAGATTTTATAGCCGACATCTATGTATACCTACTCGGCTACGGCAGTCAAAAGCTTTTTAGCTTTTAAATTCATATTTTTCATATATTGCAACGAAAACAGTTCCTCTCATTTGGAAATTACTTCCCCTCTTGTGGAAATTGCAAAGCTTTTTATTTTACAAATATTGACACAGAATGATCCGGGAGCTTTTACTTGATAAAATTTCTTTACAAATATTTTATCATGTAAACACTGACATGGGCGGTATATATCCATAGATGTTTCAATAACGGCTCTAACGATTTTGAAGAAATTTTGTGTTAATAGAATGTTTTGCATTTTAAGGTTATCTAGATAGGTGTTATCTCCAAGAATATTCACATAAGGTTGCCACCTATTCGAAATTAGTTCCAAATTGAATAAAAATCATAATATGGGAATCAAATGGAAAGTATTTTAAAAATCACTAATTATTTTCCATCGTATGTTTATTTAATTTTTTGTTTAGAAAATTAAGATAAAATATTTCATACTACGTGTACTTAAAGCAAGTTCTTTAGCAATGCTTAGCCTATATACATAGTAACTGTTATGCCTTAGGATGTTAGTCTAAAGTTGCCACTTTTTTCGAATCCACCAAATTTAATTGAATAACTTAGTATGCACATCAATTGAAAGACATTTCAGAGGGATTTAATCCAGAAATATATTTTAGGGTTGCCACATTTTTTAATACCAATTTGTATCTTATTAATTTCAACGAGAATTTTTTTATGTAGACATACCTACATGCACACATTAAATAATCTGCTATGTATACACAGTACATACATACTCAAAATATGTACTTTCAATCTGGTGTATGTCTGTATAGGATTGCCACATAATATTTAATACAAGATATTTATTTAGTTTATTAGATTTCAAAAGTGAATTTTAATTAAGTTTGCTTCCAAAATATTCTTTGTATAAAATTCTGAGGTATCTACTGATATTTTTGTACATCAAAATTATTTTTACCAAAAGTTTTTCTTTTGCATTTTGCTTCACTGTATATTGAGGTACTTATTACCTTGATATACATACTATTATATTATTAATTAGCATCATTTGATACCCAAATCCTAAAAACTTTAAAGAGTATATGCGCTCGGTCAGCCTAGTATGTACATATGTATACATATGTTTCGTCTTTCATGATTCGTGGTCAGGCAAAACCGATCATACAACCGAACATTTTTCATGTATACATACGTATTTGCTTAATTTTCATATTCCTTTGGATTTGGCACCAAAAAATTGAACACGATTTTCGCGAATAAATTGTTAACCTTACAAAACTGGCACAGAGTTGAATAGCGCAAATAAAGCATGAAAAGAACAAAGCGAAGAGAGCATTATACATATAAAAATAAAACATTATTCATCCAGCTACATAAAAGCTTAGACCAAATTTAGGGATAGGCACACGAACTTTTTTTTTGTGAAATTCATTGAATTAAATTTTCAACACCCCAAAATATCCAAGTGAAGTATTTGTTATTCGATGTTTGCCATTGTGACAATGGCGATGCGAAAAATCTCACGCTTGTCTACTCGCATTTCTTGGCGGAAAATACGAAAGTTGTGGCATTTGAAAATATGTACATTCCCATAAAGGGTGCGCGTGCAACACGGGGGAGGTCACAAAAGGTACACTGTATGCAACAGTGGCAGCTGTGGCAGCTGTGGCATGAGTTGCAGTGGCAACAGTAGCCTTGCACCGGCATACATACATACATTAATGACAACAGGCAGAGGAGTACTTTCGTTGCCAATCGAACGACATGCAGCTATGTCAACCGCATCAAGAGACAATGTGACATGGCACAACCACAAAAACATATATCAGACAAGTACGTATTGAATAGCTGTTGACCGAAGTAAATTTTTTCGATGCCGACGCTGCTGCAACTCCTACTAACCACACAGAGGCCCTCCTGGAGCAAATATTTTACAACATTGTATTCGCGCTCGCCTACAATCAGTGCAAGCACACCATAAGAAGCATGATTTACGGTATTTTAGCATAATTCGTGCAACCCACCCGCTTCAGCACAGGTCTTGCCTGCTGTCCACTTTTCAGTTTAGTTTTACACATTAATGCGGATCGTGTTCTTCAAGCTGTGTGTGTCCGTCTGAGTGTTCATGTCACGCGTAATGAAGTGTCAGTAAAATGCAAATCCATCGCATCCGATTTGGCAAGGGCTACGTGTCTTAAAATCATGGACTGAAAGACTTTGAATAGCTGTTTATTTTGTACTAAAGTGTAGGACTATTCCAAACTTGGCTAACGCATACCGTTGCATGCCGTTTGGGTAGGCATAAGAAATTTCAAAAGCCGAAAATCCATATCATCCGTTACATGCATTTGCATGCGCATACATACATACATATGCATACAGCAAAGCAACGCAGCATGGCCCAGTGGCAGACACGATGGGACAGCGCAGCAAAGGGCAGGTGGACCCATCGACTCATCCCTAGAGTCGAAGCATGGCTCGAGAGAAAGCACGGGGAAGTAGACTAATATCTTACCCAAATTCACAGTGGCCACGGCTGTTTCAAAGCGTACCTTCACCGATTTGGGCATGAAGAGACCCCATATTGCGAGCAGTGCGAACCAGCTGGCCCCGAAGATGCAGAACATGTGCTTTTCGTATGTCTCCGCTTCCGAAAGTTAAAGAAGCATGTGGAAGATAACCTTGGATGTAGTGTCACACCAGACAAACTGGTGCCACTGATGCTGAGAAGCAACCACGCATGGAACGAGGTACAGCATATGGCTGTCGCAGTGATGCAGCAACTCCGCAACAGCGAGCGGGCAAGGCGTACACGCGAACGTCAAGAAAGGGTGTGAGCCGGCAAGAAGATGTAGCGGCGAAACGTGCACGTAAACAGACGATACCAGTCTTAGAAACGAACATTCTATGGTATGGACAGGGACATGGTGGGTGGGGGCGTACAGATCCGAAATTGTACTAACAGCGGGTGGTAACAAGTAGATGCAACTTCTGACGTAATGCATCAGGACCAGAACGGACGTTAAGACTAGTGCTCAAACCGCTTCCCGACGAAATACTTGACGCTAGTACCGGGGGGAATCGGTACTGTGACAGTAGGAGGTTTAGTTCTGGTTAAAGTCCCACACTGACGGGGTTAGGCTTTCGATGCTTCCTCAAAAAAAAAAAAAAAAACATACATACCTATCTGTGTTCGTATGCAAAAGTAGCTTATGTCGAAAGGCTGGCTTTAGTATAATACGGCAATCACTTTATTTTTTAAACGGCAAGGAATTTTTCGATGAGACTCAATAAGAATATTGACTTGCTAGTATCGGAACTATATCTTCCACGTTTATTTGCCAAAAGTTGTTCAACGGCTTAGCGCCAGTAAGTCATTCGCCATCGTATGCTGCGAATGAAGATTTATACTAAAGCCAGCCTTTCGACAAAGCTACTTTTCCATATGAACACAGATATGTATGTACTTGAGGCTGGGATGTAATAAAAGTTTCTAGTTACACCAGTACACTGCAGAAGTTTTAAATCTTATATTTTATAATTTCACATTTTGAAAGGTGCTGGATTTACTTGCGCTTTCTTGCTGATTATTATTTTAATTTATACTGAGAGGTTAAATGGAGTTTAACAAAGTGTTGTGTTGTGTTGTGTTGTGTTGTGTTGTGTTATATTCAGTTATGTTGTTCAACGCATTTCACATCAGTTCACTTCAATCAACTCAACTAAACTCAACTGGGCTCAGCTCAGTCCACCTCAGCGCCCCTTAATTTAAAAGGTTGAGTTTCTACCTCTGGGCGAACACTAGTTATTTTATTAGATAGAACACAAAAAAATATACTATTCTTCCTTTTATTTTTATAACTCCGAATTTAGAGTTGGAATTCACGCGCGATGCAGATTTCCATTGTTACATCTAATCTTCACATTTTTTGACGAGCTTTGGAAATATGGTATAAATGTAGCAGAGGCTGCGCACAGAAACCAGTAAAATTTTGAAAGGGGTCTAGGAGGCAAAAAGTTTTGAGAAGCGCCTGTTAGCAAGGCACGCCCACTCACTAAAAGCGCCAGCACATGTGAAATCAGCGAACGTGCTTCTTCCAATATAGAAAAGAAGAGAGTATTTGTTTTAGTTAAGTAATTTCTCCATTGCGAGTGGCTTGGAATCGTGATACATACACGAAGAGCAATAAAATGATCTTAATAATTTGTATACAAAAACGAGTACATATGTATGTACATAAGTCGAAGCAACCAAACCAAACGCTAAAAGTTGATACATATCTGTTTGAACTAGAATGCGATGGCTCATGCACATTTGAGAGGAAAAGGACATATGTAATTATGTAAGTAGACGGGCGCACGGAGTCACACTAATTTTAAAATGTCGTCTACATAATGTGTGGTGTGGAAACAAGTGACGTTAGTTATAAATTAACATTTAGCTGCACTAAACACTGAATGCTTTAGCGGATGCGTATATACATATGTATATGTACGTAGGCATCTACAAATGTACATTAGACTGGGTCGAAAAAAAAAGTTGCTAATGTCCGCCCCTAAATTTAAAGATTATGTTGAGAGGGTTCTGGAAAAATTTTTTTTTTTTTTTTNTCTTTAAATTTAGGGGCGGACATTAGCAACTTTTTTTTTTGTATGGGGACCGACCCAGTCTAATGTACATACATAAATGCTTAAACCCAATAAACACCCAAAAAATATTTCTCCAACCTTGGAGAAATTCGTAGTTCTCAAGTTGATATCCAACATCATTCTCCAACTCATCTCTAACCGGCGTGCAGATACGTAAAAATGAAAGAGAAACAAATTCTATTATTAAGTAAAAAACGAAAGTTATACAAAGAGGAAAATTACCAACAAAAAGTAAATAATCTGCAAAGTATCATAAAATAATCTTGAAAGGAAATAAAATGCGAAGTGAATCAAGTGGCAAAATTACTGTCGGACTGTATACTGTGAAGTGAATTATTTTAATATGATATTGATTAACTAAATAATATAAAAGGAGTAATAAAATGAAAAATTAATATTTAAATTCATCTATGCATGTCGTTTCAATCAAAAAGGTATAATGTATGTTACTATTTCAATCTCAGTACTTCAATGATATGTTTAAGACCAATTGGAGAATTACATTGGACTTCAAGTTGAGAACTAGCATTTTATCAACTTGAGAAACCGTCCTTTTTTCATGCAAAGA